ACGTGGGGCAAGTACATGAACTGCGGGCAAACCTGCATCGCCCCCGACTACGTCCTGTGCGAGCCGTCCATCCAGGCCCAGGTGGTGGAGAACATCAAGGCGACTCTGCAGGTGAGCGGGGAGCTGCGTGGGCCCCAGTATCCCTTAGAGCAGTGCCAAGAGTTTGTTCTGGCTGTGAGTTCCGATCGCTGTGTCCTTTGTCAGGAATTCTATGGGCACGATGTGAAGTCGTCTCCGGATTACGAGCGGATCATCAACAAGCGCCACTTCCAGCGGGTGTTGGCCCTGCTGGAGGGACAGAAGATCGCGCATGGGGGAGAGACTGATGAGGCCTCCTGCTTCATAGGTACCTGTGCCCCAAACTGGGGCTGGGGAGGAGATAGGGGGAAGAGGGAGGTTTTGAGGGCTGCGTACGTCTGTCTTGCTCCATGTTCAGCCCTAGCCCTGCTCAGGCCTGGGTCCTGCACTGGGCCACCTCTTCTCCTCATGCTCAGTGTCTTGCTGTCCTGTTTTCCCAGCACCAACCATCCTCACTGATGTGTCCCCGGAGTCCAAGGTGATGCAGGAGGAGATCTTTGGGCCCATCCTTCCCATAGTGCCGGTGAAGAGCGTGGACGAGGCCATTGAGTTCATCAACAGTCGGGAGAAGCCGCTGGCCCTGTACGTGTTCTCCAACAACAAGAAGGTGGGTCTGGGCTCTGCTCCCCAGCTGGGCTGACTCTGGGTGATCCGATACTGCATGTTGCCGATCACGGTCCCCACAGGGCTTCTTTGTGACTGAATCCAGGCGTTTGGCTCCACAAATGCTGCCTGTACTGCAGGAGGCTCTCGGGCACCTGCTAAAGGCCTCTTAGTTTGTACAACTCTGTGTCTCAGTCTTTCTTCCCACAGAGCGGGACACGGGCACCTTGGGAGTGTCCTTCTTCCAGGGTCTGTTGTGCCAGGTCAGGAATTCAGGTCACAAAATTCAGATTTGTGTTTATGCAACATCCCCAGGGATGTGTGGGAGGATTGAGGAATGACCTCCTCCTGTAGTCCATCCCTGAGATAGGGAGTGCTTCATCTTTGCTGCTGTTCTTGTCTGTGCAAGACCAATAATATTAAATGGCATCTCCAAGTGGACAGCACACACTGTGCTCCCAAACGCATCCTGGGGCTAGGCCAGGTGTTCAGCATTTGTATTTCTGTGCTCTTCTTTCAGCCCCTTGCTGTCTCTGGCAAACCTGTAGCTAATTAATCTTTCAAGGCCGTGTTTGCTGCCGTGTCAGGAACGTGTCACTAGATGGCATCCGCTGGAGAGAGCTGGCCAAGACGCGCTGAGCTGCATGGCTGGGAGAGTGTCTCACCTGCGGTTCCCTGTCCCATGTCCACTAGGACAGCGGATCTTCATCCTGCCACGCTCCCGTGAATGCCATGGTGGTGTTGGGCTGACCTCACCCCCCTGACGCGCTACTGCCTCTTGTTTTGGGTTAGCTCATCCAAAATATGATAGCGGAGACCTCCAGCGGCGGCGTGACAGCCAATGATGTCATCATGCACTCGGGGATCCCTGATCTGCCCTTTGGTGGCGTGGGTGAGTCCCTGATCCGGCCTGTGGAGCCAATTTCAGTGTCCCAGCTGCTGGGTGTGCCTGGGTGCTCACTACCCAAGGCCCTTTCTACATCCCCCTATTTGAAGAGTTAGGCCCTGTTCCCTCTATCCTCTCTCCAGTGTAAATTTTTCATGGGAAGAGGTGGGCAGGTCCTTGGCAGAAGAGAGCTGGTACCAGGACTCCGTTCAAGGGTAGATGCACACAACCGTTCTGAGCTACCTGCAACGGTTCGGTCTGTGAGCGGATCCTGGCCTGTTACTAGCCTAGTTATCACACCGGCTCTTTGCTTCTCTGCTCTGGGGGACCAGAGCTGCTGCTCTGACGTGTGCAAAGCACCGGGAACACTGTGAGCCTGTGTCTCAGGTCACAGCGGGATGGGCGCCTACCACGGCCAGCACAGCTTCGAGACCTTCTCCCACCACCGCTCCTGCTTGATCAGGGACTTGAAGATGGAGGGGACCAACAAGGTGCGGTACCCGCCGGGCAGCCAGAAGAAGGTGGATTGGGCCAAGTTCTTCCTGCTGCAGCGCTTCAAGTGGGGCCGAGTGG